TGCAACATGAATTAGCAATCAAATAAGTGGATTAGGCTGACAATATTTGGTCACTCAATAGACACCAGTCATTGACAAAAATAGAGCCTTTTTCTGCTTTATGCAGACTTTACAATAATTAGGTAATTCTGGGATCTGAAAGACCCATAGATTCTACCAGCAGCAAAATTGAGCTAGTTACCAGACTGAGTTAATTTCATTATTGGTGTAAATGGAGGCAGGGCTACAATTTATATGGACTATGGAGGCGGGCTACAAATTAATCTATAATCTACATGGCTTCTCAAAGTCTAATTGCTGTTAATTAGAGCAACAGTAGGAGACTGGGAAAGTCAATTAGCACGAGTGTTGATTTACATGATAAAGTCATCCTGTAATTTGTGCACTGTTGCATGTAACATCGAGCACTGCATTGTATACAATGGTTGTACTTCGACATGTGCATGGTTATACTCTAGCTCCTAGTTATAATTATAGTGGCTATCGAACGAAAAATATACTCGAGGTTATGAGCGATTTGCAACTCTCATCTATTACATTTTCCTTACCTGTATATACAATAAACAGTAAAACAATGATTACATCGTACATACCATACAATAGATCTTTTGTTGTTGTTTGTTTGTTTGTTTGTTTGCAGAACCTAAAACCACGACGTAGTGCCCCATTTGTTTAATACTGTAATAGCATAGTTACCCGGGTTTCTTTTGTTTCAACAGGGTCGATTACTAACTAATCGCCCGCTGTAGCGGGCGATTAGTTCTAATCGGCCGCTAGAGCGGGCGATTAGAACTAATCGCCCTTTACCAAGGGTCACACCTTTGTCTCCCTGATGACTACGCATTAGGCAAGTGCCTCACGCACATAATCGTGCAAGGAACTGCAACAGTTAGCTCAGAGCCGTCAATAGTCTATCATCCGATCCCTGAGTTGCCGCATCATTTAAATTACGCACGTGCAGTTAGTTAGAAAGTTAGTTAGAAACTTTATTAAAGTGTCATTTACATCTAGCCGGTTACAGATAACCTACTAATTGGGGACACTAAGCTTAAACAACTGAATTTACACCTATTGTATATCACTAAAATTTCTGCTATGATTACATATATATTACACTAATTATTTTACTACAGCTTAGTACTAAGACTATTATTATGGAGTTTATCATGCAATACAACTGAGGTCTGTTTTTCTGATACTACGCTTAAAAGCAGATAGCGAAGTCTGATTTCTGTCTTCGGATTTTAATTTTGACCAAAGGTAAGGTCCATAATACCTTAATGAGTGTTTTCCAAATTTTACAGACTTAAATCTCGGTATAAGAAAGTCTGAGTTTCTAAGATTATAATTCCTTGGTGTGTTTATAAATATATTTAATATATTGTTCGGAAGTAGCCTTTGTTTGACTTTAAACATGAATATGGCTATGTCTTGCAACCTCCGGTTGTACAAACTTGTTAACTGGGCCCTTAACAGTAGATCTTCAGCAGTCTCCAATTTTATACTAATATATTTAGCGTTTTTGTTGTGGTACGTTAAATGATAGATTGGGCATGCGTAACCGATTAAAGCGTAAAAAGTGCGCATGTGCAACAAGCTTTTACATCCCACAAGCAATGAAGCAAATGTTTTAGCTTAAATACCTTGATTCCAAGTAGGGCACATGTTACAGGTACCAAAATTGAGCACAGTGTCAGTGTTAACAGGCCTTAAATCACAGGATTCGTGTGTAATTATGTTGTTACTGGTAACTAAATTTTTGTAGGGGCTGTTTATAAGATCGAGACTGATTTGTCTGGCCTGGGCCAGTTTGTCATGTTAACTAAAAGCAGACTATTTATTCTTGTTAATTCTTACCTTACAACACCAGTTTGTCAACTCAATCCAGATCTGATTGTTGTGACTTGAAAACAATATTTGGAGCTAGGCTATAACCCAGTTCCAATATTAATCTGAAAATATATAAAGAGAACATTTGAGGCATTGTCTCAGTGCTCATACATCTTCCAGATTTTACAAACATATCATTTTATACAACTGAAGCTTATTAATAAAGAGCTTGCAAGACTCTCCCCTTGACGAGTAAAATTGTCTGGCATTAGGAAAAGTAAAGCAACACAGTTGCAGCTTAATGGATTAAGGATAAATACACTGATATATCACATTCAATGCTGTAATCTGTAATTACAATCCTTATTCATGTATTAAAATGCTAACATATCTTTAACAGCATTCAAATGTTTAATATATTATTTCGTATTGTTAAAAGCACAAGTATGTTTAATATATTATTTCATATAGTTTTATTATTAAGTTTAATATACACCCTTGACAAAGGTCTAGAAAAGTGCCAAATTATTACTGTATATGCCATTAATGCCAAAGACAATTATTGCTAAATTGTTGATATTAATAGTGCATTAGTGCACAATTTAGTACAGAATTTACTATAATAGATTCGAATTGATATTTTATTCTTTCTTTCCTTGCCAGAAACCAACATTTTGTATGTTTCTCATGCAAATTGAACGTGGCAAATTCAAAATTATATTCAACAGAATTTCAGACACATGGCTCAAGTAACAATCATATTCTCACTACATTCTTTTGCAATTTAAAGTGCTTGAATAACAAGTCAAAATAAAACTATTCTTACCTGTGAGATCTGAATAACATTTTGCATGCCTTTTCCATCGTTTGGGTTTGAAATTTCAATACATTTCTTCACTATGTAGGACATGTAAATGTGCTTTCAAATTTTTAGCACAAAAATTCGAAACGACGCTATCCCATGACACTTTGCGCACTCACACTTAAACTAAACACCAGGCCTCCAGGCAATGCGCGAACTATTGCTTCAGTTGTCATGTAAGGCATGTAATATAGTTTCTAGCTCTACTATTACTAACATAAAGAATATTCACAAATGTTTTCAATCCGTTATTGACTGTTAATTTATTTATAATAAATTCTCAGAAAATGAAAATTCTCTACAATGATTCAATAAAACATGGAAAGAACTCAACTTTAGAAATTAAATTAAAATGTAGTTATATGGTACCAGGGAAGATGGAAAGGGGGTGGGGCAAGGTCTCCTTTCCTAAAGGGGGCAAATGTAGCATTTTAATATAAATAATACACAATATTTTTGTCCCAGACTTACTTTAATAACAAGTTAATTAACAAAGATAAATATGATAGAAAAGGATTTGTATATTTATTTAGCTATTTCCCAAACTCATGGGTCTAGTTGCACAAATCCCTTGTTGGAGAGACAAGAAATATAGCAGCACACGTTTAAATTAAAGTTTAATGTAAAAAGAAGATATTTCATTTTTGGTCATGTAAAAAGTTGATATTTGATAGCAGATACTTCTACTCTTTCACATATTTGATGCCTGTCTCCATATATTTTGTCCCTCCAAACGACCCCAGAATATGCACTGTGATCTCTTTTGAGAAAAGCCAATTACAGTGATGTGAATATACTAACCCATATAGAAACTAAATCCAGGAAATACCAGTATTGAGGAAAATATATCATTTTGGAAAAAATATGCAAAAATTGCAAAAGATGTTATATTTAAATTTTAACAAATTTATTTTCGTTCTTCGAGAAAATTTAAGCAAAAATAATTTATTATTAATCTTGCAAATCAAGTACTTCTCATTTTGAAAATCTGTTTTCTAATTAAGAAAATTGGTTTCTCATTTCAACAAATATTTTCTTGAAGTAAGAATTGTTTTCTCAATAAGAAATTATTTTTTGCTGTGTATATAGTTACAGATACTGTATTATTTTTTGCTGTGTATATAGTTACAGATACGGTATTGACAGACAATTGGCATATCTACATATATCTGCAATTTTTATGCAGATATTTTGCAGATATTTTGAAAGACAATTGACATATCTGCAAATATCTGCAACTTTTATGCAGATATTTTGCAGATATTTTGAAAGACAATTGACATATCTGCAAATATCTGCAACTTTTATGCAGATATATTGCAGATATGTTAACAGATAATCAACATATCTGCAAAATATCGGCAACTTTTATGCAGATATTTTGCAGATATTGTAGACCTTGTTGCAGTTATGCTGCAGTACTGCAACAGATATGTGACAGATACTTGCAGACATTTTACATATATGTCAGTTCGGTAAGGGAATACATCTTTTAATGTGAATCAAATTGGACAAGGCACGGTATTGATGCTCCATTAAACTTTTAATTCAGGAAATTTATCAATCTATCTATTAATGCAGCCTATAAAACTGCTTCTTTCAACTTTTGTTCGTTTATTTAATAATAGACTTTCCAAAATTCAAATGTTTCAATTCAATCAAAACACGAAACGCCTGCAAACAGGCTATGATGTTTACAATATCCAATCAGAACACGTACTCTATTGAATCTATAGTCAGCAGCCAATCAACTCTTTCCTTCCATTTTTGAAAGTTATGTTAGGGACCGTGCGCGTTCGGGAGCCTGTTATTGGAATTTGCTAATTTCGCATGCAAAATAGCCCATGTTTAACGCATGATAACTTCGCAAGTAAAGAATATTTTGTTTTCAATTTTTTTTGTGTTTGTGAAAGAAGGATAGATCTAAACAACTACATAATCCTGAAGTTCCTACATTTTGTAACGCGAGAGCAATATGCCATCGAATATGTCAAATTTTTGTTACCCGCGACGCCATTAAATCATGTGGCACCGGGTTCTGCCGTGGACACGTCGTGTTCAACCGTAAATCCGGAGTAATCTCTGGGGTCATATGGGACAATATTGGTATTGAAAGAAAGATAAAGACCTCAGCTATCCACTGATGTCCTGTTCTTTCGAGTTTTCAACACGGAAGGACTATTAAACGCGAAAAACAACGTTATTTTATTATTTTAAACAATTTCTGGTGCAAAATGTCAGAAGAATCAGGTAAATATAAAATCTGTACACATTTAGCTTCAATTTGATATGTATATTGTAATACTATATGGCAGAGATCACTCCGGATTTGTGTTTGAATTTTGTTAACATTGGAACAAATATTTCAGCGCCATTGATGACTAATGAAGCCTCGTGGTGTGGAAATTGTCGCGACTTCAGTGAGAACAATCTACGCTCACATATTATAAAAGGGGTGAAGCCCGGCTGGTGGAAAGGTGAGAACAAAATTTGTTTTAATTTGTTGTTCAAAATATTTGAAATCAGTAGTTGTATTGAGGGTAACCAAGGTGAAATGGTTATAAAAGGCCTTCTTACACTGGACAAACACATCACCCCACCAAAATATATTAGCAACCTCAAACGAAAAGTGACCAGAGTAATTGGCAAAGGCCCAGATGGCAGTTGCACTATTGTTTCAGATCTATATGTGAAAAGCGACATTGCAAAGGGCATTGGAGAAGAATGCGACAAGTTTGCTATAACTGCAGAAATGCTAAATAATTTGCTTGAGGTTAATGTACATGAGGCTAAGAGGGAGTGTTCTCTACTGTCCACATTCGATACATCTGTCATTATAACTAATAAATTGGTTATTGAGTTAAATGATTACAGAGAAAAGATTAATCAACCATGGAGCACCCTGCTGTCATGGTTACTTAGCATCGGCGATGCTACTGAAAATGTTGACCTAAAAGTATTTCATTCTGGGGTTGAACGTGTGATTGAGCGAAAGCGTTACCTAATGAGAAACCAAGGTAAAAATGTATGTGAAGAGTTTTTAAATCAAATGTTTAAATTCCCCCAAATACATGTACAATCCAGTCCTGCAAATGAATACCAGAAATCTTTAGATGAACAAGTGAAATACATTGAAGTACTTCTGCAAAATATAGAGAAATCAAATTCTGAGATTGAATTGCTTAATCGAACAGTAAGTGAGCAGAGTTTGGTAAGTGGTAGTAAAAGTAGAGAAATTGATAACTTAAAACTAAATCTTAGTGAAATGCTGACAAAACAAGAAGAGAAATCTAGAGAGCTACAGCAAGCAATGGAAAAACTGAATAAAATGACACCTCGAAACATAAATAAAAAAATCAAGCGCCGAGATGAGATGAATAGAAAATTGAAAGAAATGTCACAGCAGCAACAAGAGGAAATTGAGAAGAAAGAAAGTGAATTGAAAGCACAAGAAGAGCAATATGAAGAGATGATCGATGAAAAGAATGAAATTATAATTTGCCTGAATGAAAAATTAGATTCTGCACTTGAAGCAAAATCTAAAGCACAAAAATTGAAATCATATTATAAAGTCAGAAATAGATCATTCCAGGGTAAGGATGTTAACGGTCATCTTTTTTCTAAAATAACAGAGTTAAAGTCAAAGATTGCCGAATTGGAAAATGACCTTGAAGTCTTGCAAGAGAAACTTGAAGATTTTTTTGCAAAGTAATGAGGTAAAAACATTTAAAAATGGTCGGTATACTGATGAGATCAGGGCAGTATACAAAGATCTGTTATGTTGGGGGGTAGGAACTGAAAATGTTGAAAAGGTGGTAAAAACTGTTATTGAGAAACTTGCAGGTTTAGATTGTAGCCGACTCCCCAAGGCCACATTTGCTAGGTACATGTATTTAGAAGCTAGACGACTTGCTCAGATTCAAGTACCAGACCAGCTGCTTGATGGGTGGGAATTACGAAATCGCACCCTGCATAGTGATGGTACCTCCAAACATGGCTACCATTATGCCACCTTTGATGTGACATTAGATGATGGTAATGTAATGGTGGCCGGGCTGAGGGACATGGCATGTGGTGATGCTGAATCACAATTAGAATTACTAAAAGAAGTTTTAGGTGATATTACAAGCTCTCTGGAAGAGGAAAATGCAGATAAGAAGGTGATGAAATCCATAAAGAATTTGATGTCTGACCGCTGCATTGTCCAGAAGAAATTCAATGAGATTCTCCAAAAATACCGACAGTCCATTCTGCCTGAAGTTGTTGAAGAGTGGGATATACTTGATGATGATGAAAAATCAAAGGTTGAGAGAATGAATGACCTATTCTGTGGCCTACATTACATTGTTGGGCTTGCTGACCAAGCAGAGGAAGCTTTAAAGATATGGGACAAGCTCTTGTATGATAACACAAAGGTTGGTAGCCTTTGTCAAGGTGGGTATAGTAAAGGAGAGAGTGGCACTCTCCGTTTACTTCGAACAGTGTGCAAAGCTGTTCAGGCCAAGGGATGCGAACGATCTGGAAGAGCTGTATCCTTTGCCGATTATGTTAGAGAGAAAGGTGTTGAATTAATCCCCCTTGCACCTTTTCTAGGAAATAGATTTAATATTATATTTCATAATGGGGGTGGTGTATTCTATTTGCATGAGCACCTTAGACCATCCTTTGATATGATGAAGGATGAAAACAAACTGCTGAAAGCAGTTCACTATGACTTAGAAGTTTCTTCATTTTTAGCTGGGTGCAGGGCCTTAGGGTTGATTAACAAGTTTATTACAGGTCCTTTGTGGAGAGTCCTTGAAAAGGAAGAGGTAAGTTTCATGGATATGAGTGCATGATACCAGCGACTGTTGGAGTGTTTTGAAGAATGGGCTCAAGACTCCACTCCTGTACTCACTGGTGAAGCTGTCGTGTTTGATGATGTCAAACTGAAAAAAGATGTGTGTTATGAAAAGCTAATCGATGAAGACCCCACCTGGGATCCAATGACAAAGCAAGTCCTCGAGTTGATCTTTGGATCATTTGTTGTGGTAACAAAGAGAATGTTGAGTGATCACCTGGAGGGTGGTAAGTATGACAAACCCAATGCTGAAATGCAAGATGAGTGCAAGAATGCTCCCAAGACAAATGTTGTTCCTGAACGAGATTTCGGAATGCTAGATCGACTTATTGCACAGAAACCCAATGCAACAACCTTGGTTTTTGAAGGCATCTTGATGTTCACAAAGAATGGTAGTAAAGGTTGGAGAGATTTGTTGCCCCCTGAAAAGAGAGCTGCTGTAATGGAAATGGCACGGAATTCCAAGTCAAGTCAACGACAGCAATTCATTGAGCGGAAAGCAACAATTAGAAAAAAGAGAGAGGAAAAGCTTGAGAAAGGAAAGCAAGAAAAAGAGTGAAAAGAAACCAAGTTGAGAATGCTAAAGCAAGATTTAGTCCAGAAAGTCGAAGAACTTGGTGGATTGTGGAAAACAAATGAAGAAATTGACGAGCAGATTACAGAAATAAGCAAAGAAAAAGACAAGAAAATTGCTATCAAAACCCAGATCCAATTCCGAAAGATAGTGCTTGGCACAAAACATAAAGATAAAAAAGTATTTCAGATGTCTTCTGAGGGTAAAGCATTTAGCAGTAAAGTGCTGGTTGATAATCTTAAAGAAATCATACGTCAGTCAATTGAAGATAACAAAAAGGTGACCGGGCCAGAAAACCCTCAAGTTACACGAATTGGAGAAAAACTTATCCCTCTCGAGAAAATGTCACAACAGAAAGAAATATACAAAGAGCGAGCCAGCAAGGAAGCAGAAAAGGCTGGAGGGAAAAGAAAAATAGATTGCCAAACCACCAGTAATCAAAGATCTGCAAAACGAAAGAAGGATGGCCAGGAAAATGAAAATATTCCAACTATAGTTGTGCCAGTAGATCTTGTTGGAAAATGTGTATCTCATCATTGTTTGGATGAAGATGAACTGGACTGGTTTGAAGGTGTTGTTGTTGGCATAAACAAGATAAATAGTCAAGATCCTGAATTATATATTAGATACGATGGTTATGATTCTGAATATCTCTTTCCATATCATGAGTTTAAAGATGGTGAAGTCAAGCTCATACCAGTTAGTGTAGAAGACTTCTTAGGTAAAAAAATCTCCCAAAGATTTGAAGATGAAAGCCAAAAGCACAGTTGGTGGGAAAATGGCAGAGTTATTGAAATTGTAGATGGCAGTGATGAAAATAATCCCGAGTTTGTTATTGAATTTGATTGCCAACCAGAATTAGATTATGAAGATGAAGATGAGGCAGTTAATGAATGTGAAGTTTGTACCTTCAATCTATTTGAAGATTATTTGAATAGTGATGAAGAGTGAACTTTTCTAAAATGCTACAGTGTAATGAAGGTTGGAATGCGCAATTGGCTGCGAATAAACAGTGCTGGCGTCATTATATATCTGACAAGCAACTGTGACTGCGATACAGCACTCTTGCGCCATTGCTGCAAAAAGTTCCAACATGCGCAACTGGCTGCTGGCAGCGCCATTGCTTCAAGAAACTAAATTGGAATGCACAGTTAGCTGCGAATAGGGAGTGTTGGCATCACTCTTGCGCCACTATTGCAAAAAGTTCTTGAATGTCCAACTACTGTAGCTATGAAAACCATACCATGCATTGCTAGTGTTGTTTAGTTTGAGGGAGGGTGGGTGAGGAGGTTGAGCTAAAGAACGAGGGTTGGAGGGAGGAATGCCTCTTGAAATCCTATTTTATTAATAGAATTTCGTCAGGCAATCTTTAGCTCAGGTCTCAAACAAAACACCAGCAATACAGACGTAATTAATATATTAAGAAAATAATTTATTAACAATCTACAATTTCTTCTTTCAATTTTTAGATCCGAATTTTTGTAAGAATAAATTTTATGATGGAATAGAAAAACTGGAATACGGTGATTTCAATGAAACTTTAACAAGCCAAGGACAATATATGAAATTATGTGATCTTTGTCTTTAGAGTTGGTTATGTTGCAGCCAAAATCAATTTGAAGAGGGAGTTACCAATAAGAGGTAATATGTTGAAAAGTAACTGAACCTGACATTTTATTTGTAGATAAACTAATGATTTTTAAAACACTGTTTCATTCATAGACAAGAGTACCCTGACCTATGCCTATATCGTAGATTGGAAGTGTGAATGGATCCAACATGGCTTCTCTAAACAAATCGCTAAGACAGTATGTAGAAAATAGACTATTAAAGAAACAGTCCAGTTTCAAATATATAGTTCAGAGATTTATAAATATAGTTATGAGAATCTTAGATCTATAGTGTAAATATTATTTTATAGAAAAGCTAAGATGACTATATTAGCAATGCCATTGATCTAATTTCATGCGTTACGTCATCATTGCCGTTACGTCATTGACGTCATTAGTGACGTCATGTATATACACTAATCTATAACTATGATGTCACATGGTTACTATAGTAACTGAACAATGTTATAAGTGGTATTTTTGATAATATATTATACTTCCCCACACTTTTTCGTTCTTTCGTCACTAACTTTTGCAATGAAAGTAACAGTTATTGTTCAGATACATAACGTCATTATGACGTCATCGTGTTTCCATGGGAACACAACTTTACGTCATTTTATAAACTAGTATTATTAAATTGATGTATAGCATGTCATACAACACTTTTGAAATATTTTTATGAATAATAAATTATGTAATTGTAGTTTTCATTATATTTCTTGTCATTCAATGACGTCATACGGTTGCCATAGCAACCATAAGTGTTCAACTGTTATCTGATATTGTTGCTATATGTGTCATCAATGCTGTCTGAAAATTTCATGGTGATCGGACAAAGCGTTTAGAAGTTATCACCCTAATTGTTAAAAAATGTGCTGAAAAGTAAGCATTTTGGTGCCACATTTTAAACCCAACTCTAATACAGTTCTCTAATGTCGCTCTTCCAAAAATAGGGTTGAAATTCCGATGTTCAAATTGCTATAACTTTTGATTGCCGTGACCGATTTTGATGAAACAAACACCAAAATGTTTTAACTGACGAGTTCTGTCAAAACAACCTATTTATGGAGCCCCCCTGTAAATTTGAAATTTTGACTGTTATCCCTAGTTATGTGTGAAATATGAACCTGAAAAACTATGCCAATTTCACCAGAGGGTTATTCAAAACAGGCAAACATAAATACCCTCCGGCTCCAGGGTACTGTTTTGCTAGTTGACCAAACAGATCTACTGTTAAACATACTGATCTACATTTAAGCCGAAATATTCACAATATTTTGTTCAATATGCAAGCATACACACATATTCTGGTGCCTTTTGATTTAAGATATCTGCTTTACTTTAGTTTTTACCTCTCATTGTTCTCAAATTACTTGGGACTCTCCTTTCCCTAAGATCTCCTGGAGGTTTATGAAGGGTTTATTATGTAAAGGTTTAACATTTGATAATGTCCTCTGGCCTGGATGAATGACTAATGCTGGCAAAAATCTGCATGGTACCCGTTTGTAAGAAACTGCAAACTGTTCTAAAATCTAAATCTTTTATTCTTTGACTTTAATTTTATCTCATCTGTGAGTTGGCCTCAAAGGCCTTTGATTTGAAATGCCAAAAATAAGCAAAAAACGGCCTAAAAAATTCCAGTTTAGCTGAGAAATGCTATTATTCTAGTTATAAAATAACACATCTATGATTATGTACAATAAGATTGTTTTTTATCAGTTTATACAATTCTATTTTAACCACCAAGAAATATTTCACAACTAAACTTGTATTGAGCACGTATTTTATAGACGGTTTTATGCCATTTTCAGTTTGTATTTCCTAAAATGGTAGTTCAACTGACAACTTCAAAACATCAATACACGATAGCTTGCGGGAGAAAATTTGTCAAGGATGAGATTTCGTCAGTAAAATGTGAATAGAATTCGCTAAGGACGAGATTTCGTCAGTAAAATATGGGCGAGAATTCACCAAGGGCGAGATTTCGTCAGTAACATGTTGGCGAGGGTTTGCCAAGTACTCGATTCGTTGGTAAATGTGGGTGAGGATTCGCTAACGACGAGCTTTCGTTAGTAAATTGTAGGCGGCGTTTCGCCCAGGTCAAACAAATGTTATTATATTTATATAATTTTCTGTATCATGTTATCTAGACTTTGAAAGCAGAGTTCAAGGCTTTGCGGCAAAGCGTTAATGTGTTTACTAAGGCAACTGTGGAGAATGTAATTATTAAGATTATGATGTACGCTTCACGTCCGTTGTCCGAGTTTAATAAATTCGAGGCTTTGGTGGAAAATTTGAATAATGTGTCGCAAGAGCAGAAACATGCGTATCACCGTATGGTCTACCAAACGTTACGTGGCAAGATGTCTGTCTCGACGGAGCAATTTCGTAGTTTACTCTTGCGTTTGTGAACTGTGCTATTGTGTGTGGCATGTGTTGTGTGGTTTCTGTAGTTAGAATCTAGAAACATATGTAAGACTTTAATATGCTATTTGTGTGGATTGATGACTTATATGTCTCGATAATAATTTAAACATGACGAGAGTTGTATTATGATAATTTGTTATTTATTGTTGCAAATATTATGTTGATTCACTTGCATTATGTTTTTTTTGGGGGGGGGGAGGTTTTATTAGTTGTTTTCTCCACTGCTTTATTACAGTCCTAGGATATGAAAGCTTTGAAAAGGGGTATCTCAATCAGCCCTCCCTGCGTTCGCGGGGTCGTTGCGATCATATCCTTGCCGACTTGTTGGGGTCTGCTATAGGCATTGTTGATTGTTTGTTCCTGTTTTAGATACTGTTACCTCACCCAGGTATGGCCAGTATTATATTTGACTGCAAAGTAAATGAATCGATCGGGAAGAACTGTGTGTTGCGCTGGGTCAATGTTCTTGGGGACCCCATTTATGTCGGCGAGGGTATGAAGCCCAATCATTCTCTTGTCCAGCAAGTGTCCAATGTGGAAAATGGTATCGCTATTGGGGATGTCAACACATTAGCCATACGAGATCCACAGACTTTTCACGCCGGGGAGCTTCACCGTCATGCACAGTTTTGGACAGAGATTGCAGAGAGAAATCCTTCCCACGATCATCAGGAAGTTTTAAATTGGATTAACAATACGGTTCCCATTTTTCCCTATTTTCAGCATTTTAAGGGAATTTTTCAACAAGAGTCTTATGATTCCGATTTCCCACCTCCGAAACAGTTTCCAAATAATAAGATATGTGCACAGTTTCGGGATTTATTGGACAGACCATCGTTGAGCGCCTTGTAATAGGTGCTTTCAAATTAATTGGGCGGGTTGGTGAGGTTGAACCTCCTCATTTAGTGCTGCCTCTCACCGTCGAGCCCCACAAGTCACATCTTTGTTATGATGTGCATTTTCTCAATCTTTGGATGAAAGATAAGCCGTTTAAGCTCGATTCCTTGCGAGACCTTCTGCATTATGTGAGTAACGATTCTTACCAAACTGTTTTGGATGACAAATCCGGATATGATCATATTTTCTTGACGGAGGCAAGCCACACTTAGTTTGGTTTTCAGTGGGCGAAATGGTATTTTACTTGTTGCACACTTCCTTTTGGTTGGAAAATATCACCGTATGTTTATCATCTACCGGTTTGCTCGCCACACATTTTTTTCGTTCGATCAAGATTCCATGTCTTCTGTATATTGATGACCGACATAATGGACAACTTCAGGTACCTTTCAATGAGGGTGCATATGCCCCTCTTGAGACGGACGATATTCGGAGATTGGCTGCCGCACAATCAGCAATTTTTCTTGTCGTGTATTACCTAGTTGCTTTGGGTTATTTTCTGGGATTGAGTAAGTCAATTCTCGTTCCATTGAAGATCGTCCCATATCTCGGTTTCGAGTGGATTCGATTCATCAAGCGTTTAGATTGATTGTCACTAAGCGCCATTGCTTTCTACAATTGGTACATGAACTACTAGGTAAACCGAAAGTAACTGTTCGTGAGGTGCAACGTTTAGCGGGAAAGTGTGTCGCTTTTTCTCTGGCTGTCCTGGCGGCAAAGTTATTTACCAGTCGTCCTTTTCCCCTAACGGATGATTTGAAGGATGAGATCTCGCATTGGTTATTTCTGGCCAATTGGGGTGAGCCATTGCCCTGGCGAGATGAAAAACATATTGTTGTATCTATGGCCACTGACGCGTCAAGTTCGGGCTGGGGTGGCGTGATTTTGTTGCCCATTTCCAAGAAGGTTTCAGATTACTGGGTTGGAGAAGAATGCAATTGGGATATTGCCACCAAGGAAGCTATGGCCATTGATCGAATGCTTTTATCAAATTGTGACTTTCTTCGTGATACTCGCGTTGATGTTCACGTTGATAATCAGGCCGTTCTTCAAGCCTGGAATAACGAACAGGGACGGAGCCATATGCTTATTCAGGCGCTCAAGAACATATTCTTTACCACGCTGAATATGAATGTTGCGTTACACCTCATCTATGTTCCTACAAAGGCCAAAACCCGGCTGATCTACCGTTGCGCCGTTTGTCATACATAGATGCTCGTTTAACTCTTTAAAAGCAGGCCCCTATAAACGTAGTACGTGCACGTACTATGACACTTTGCCTATTCATATATCCTGTTTGGTGCACGCTATGTAGATGAAAATACCACCATTCGATTCAGTGAAACAATATCTCCTAATACCTATCAATAGTTTTAGTCAAATATAGTTTTAGCAAAATTGTATAACTATTTATGACCTTTTGACAGGTCAAGCGGTGTCATATTTCATTATATTAATCAATTGTCTCGAACAATGTAAACTATCCATACCTTTCGCCGAACATAACTTCGACCCCTTTTGAGATATCATTTTCGCTATAGTCTTATTTGAAACAGAATCCAATTCCTGAAGTAGTAAAGTTGCTGAAGATGAATGGTGTTATATCAGTCACTAGTGCTTCTGTTGAAAGATCATTTTCCTGTTTGAAGACGGTAAAAAGTTATTTGAGAAATACCATGAGTCAAGGCCGTCTTAGTTCTCTTTGCAGGATTTCCATACACAAAGACATATTGTCAGAAAAAGAAGATGCAGGTACCTTGCATGAAGAGGTGGTAAAGAGGTTTGTTGAAAAACCAAGGAGACTTGCTTTCCTATATAAGTAATGGTATATATAATATAGTTTGGTACCTCATATTATCCCATTAAAGAGCAAGACTCTTCCCTTGACGAGTAAAACCATCTGGCTTTAGACAGAGTAAAAGAATAAAATTGGGTGCATTGCTGCTTAATGGGTTAATATACATGTTTGCCAGTATGATTTCAGTTTTGTCACCTTTAATTTACAGCTTAAAATTACTTACATATCAGGGAATATTAGATTTATAGGAGAAATATCCACTTGAATGTGGTGACCCCAAATATAATTTCATATCTTTCTTTTACTATAAGCCATATTATTTAGTATAAATGACCAGAGTTATAGGGGAAATACGACTCAAAGTCTCAAATGTGGTGAGTCCATGATATAACTCTTCCTTGGGAGATACCCACTTGAATGTGGTGACCCCAAAATATAATTTCATATCTTTCTTTTACTATAAGTCATATTATTTAGTATAAATGACCAGAGTTATAGGGGAAATACCACTCAAAGTCTCAAATGTGGTGAGTCCATGATATAACTCTTCCTGGGGAGATACCCACTTGAATGTGGTGACCCCAAAATATAATTTCATATCTTTCTTTTACTATAAGTCATATTATTTAATATAAATTACCAGAGTTATAGGGGAAATACCACTCAAATGTGGTGAGTCCATGATATAACTCTTCCTGGGGAGATACCCACTTGAATGTGGTGACCCCAAAATATAATTTCATATCTTTCTTTTACTATAAGTCATATTATTTAATATAAATGACCAGAGTTATAGGGGAAATACCACTCAAATGTGGTGAGTCCATGATATAACTCTTCCTGGGGAGATACCCACTTGAATGTGGTGACCCCAAATATAATTTCATATCTTTCTTTTACTATAAGTCATATTATTTATTATAAATGACTAGAGTTATAGGGGAAATATCCACTCAAATGTAGTGACTCATGATATAACTTTTCCTGGGTGAACATAATTTCCATGTTATTATTTTACTATTTCTATGACTATGTTAATTAGACTTATACAGAAAATTGCACCAGTCTTCACCTCACCACCGTCACCGGTGCAGAAAGTTTGTCTCGCATTTACATATTGGTCATTTAGTCTATGGCTTATTGTATGTTTTTATGTACTTTTTCGTTGGCAATGATGATTGTCTTTCTAGTGCAGCATCATAACTTTTTTATTATTGTTTGCAGTTTGCACCCAATCTGAGCCTGCGAGTGAAGTTATAAAAAATTAAACTCGTTTGAGTTATTTGTAATGTAATTAGTAATGCTGTTTCATGCCGAAATAAAATAATTATTACACATGCATTGTTTTTATCGTGTTTTCCTGAACTGGTTTCTCTTTTTGTATGGAGTTTATTATGAATTTCCGTAAGTTTTGCCGCCCAGAACGCAGGAAATTAAGTTCGAGTGACGTTAAAATAACCCAAATGTTTTGTATAAATATGAATAGATAAATGTCTGAAAAGGCTGTTTCCGACGATCTAGAGGCCCTAATTTTCAAAAATTTTCTCGCTCAGCGCCAACCATGGTTGGCGCCTCGTGAGACTGCTAACCACCGAATACTAATAGCATGACCAAACTTTTTTTCCTAGCTACGCTACTGTCAACAAAGAGTGCAAACCAAAACACAGTGCTTGTACATCTATCAAGTTTTTAATTACTTCAAATATATTTAAAAGGATATATGGTACTAGAATCTATTTATTTTCAATATAAACCAAGGATGCATGGGAAGGTGAGAAAATAGGAATTTTCTGAGGTGTTTTTAACACGGACAATGACAGCCGACATTTTCAAAGGCAAATTCTGGTGACAAAACCAAAAGCTATTAACCTCTCTACTCAAAGCACTGAAAAAACAACATAAAAAGAAAAACATTTTAAACATACATCAGGTAAGACTTTTAGCTCAATTTTCTCATGTTTTTGTTGGAAAAGCAACGGTTTTTAGCCAAAATTATTTTGCGCGCCAATGTAGGCTGCTATAAAATGTCAGACACGCATTCTCTTTTAAAGTCTGGCTCTGAAAAACAATCGCTTTTTTTTAGTTTCAAATAAGCCTTCATAAGGACTATTGTGTAGAAATGTTATCTATATGCTCACATGAAAAAGATAACCTAATATTCGGGTATTCCACATAGCTATAAAAGGGTGAAAATAAGAACTTTCATCTTTGGTTGTTTGTCAGATGTGAGAAATCACATTAGTGCCATTTTGTCGCGCGTGCTATTTTATAAAATAAACACCTCAAAACCATAAATTTTTAGTTCAAAAAATTACAAAGTTTCCCATAGACATTATTAAAAATGTTCTAGTGAAGCAATTTCATGATAAATAAGCGAGCAATGGGCCCAAAAGGACGGCTAAATTATGTTTTTGTTAGGACTTCAGTTTCATGGCTTCTCGCAAAAGGAAGCCATTTCAGAGAGAAGCGACAACAACGGCAAACAACCGTCGCGGCCTATTTTGATCACTTTTCCTTCTGATTCAACATCTAGTTACTAGAAAATGAGGTTGGATCAACATTACTGTCTGCCTTATCGATTTAAAGTTTTATGGGGATATAAAACCCAATACAAAAATCATTTTAAAAGCTTTAGAACTCAAGTGCGGACTTTTTGAGAATTCGCACGCGGCAAGCAAGCGCATTAATTCAGTACACTTATTTCAAACCACAATATGTCTGAAACGAGTTGTCATTTTAAGACTAAATTGATGTAAATAGATATAACAGTGATTTTGGAATATCCTACTTATTTTGTGTAATTTAATACTCGAAGTATTCTTGCCAAATAGGGCACGTATGCACACAGTAATTTAATCTGGAGTCGTTTGAAACATACTTTAGCTAAAATAACAACTTGAACAAGAAGGCTAACAATGGGGTCAAGAAAACAGTCGAAATTGTGCCCAAATTTGCATAAACAGTTTGTCTAAAAAGATAACTTTAAACTAGATTCAACCAACATTAATGCAGTTGAATTTTGTGAGTGTTTGATCGCATATTTCTACTCAAAAATACTCTTTAAAAAATCGTATCTGCTCACTTGTGTTCCGACTTCTATTTTTAATAAAGTTTGGAGAAATCCTCATCTTTTTGGCTGAAAATGTCGTGCATGGTTCACAGAAGAACTTGGCCCCAAAACGTCAATACATTCGCTTTCCTTTCATGCCAAATTTTCGTTGTAGATGATTAAAAAACCTCTTCTTTTCTTGCTTTTAAAACTTGCTGTAAAATATTTCTTTGCAACAGTATCGCCATTATTCATTATTTTTGAAAAACTAACGTTTTAAACTTGAAAAACTTTGCGAGTTTCTGACCGATTTTCTTGCATGATACACCGTTGAAAAGCTCGAATTTCACGTTCTATTTTCTATCAGCCTCACTGTCATGCATCAAGACGAAAGACGATTGACTCAGGGTTCATGAAAGCGAGCCTTCCAGGCCAAGAAGCAAGTTGTACTGTAATTAACAAAAAGGTGTATAGACGATATATCAAATTCTAAAATTCCAATGCCCCTTAAACTGGCTAAAAGCTACAACAAAACTTGTCTACATTCCGAGCAAAGGCCCTTATAAAATAAACCTGGTGATGAACTTTCATGCCAAGTGCACACTAGAGCCACAGTACTGTATCTGCTTATAGCCATGATCATTCAGTATGAATGGCGTAAGGCGTTAGGTCGAGTGTAGAAACGCCTTAATTACACCATTGGTCACAAATGAAATATTGCTATAAAGCAGATAGCTCTTTTGTGTGCCAGGCTCTAGATTACCAAATAAGGAACACATTAATGTAACATGCTCAAAGGAATGCTTGAAAATGATCCATACATGTAGTGATCTAGTTAAATTAACTCCCTGAAATCATAGACATAGTTAATGGAATATACTGTAGACATGATTAGGAAACATGGCGAGTTTTACAGCCAAAATTGAATTATTTTTAAAGTGCACACATCGTTTATCTTGGACATAATATCTTATTTAAGTAGTACACTGTATGCCATGCATACAAGTTGACGTACTGTCCATTTCACCCGATCCTTTGCCGGAAGTAATTAACTTTATTTCTGAAATAAATTTTATTTCTTTCAAAGAATCAAAGTAAAATCGATACGTTGCCATCTTTTTGGTTACGGTGAGTCGAAAGCTAAGGTCGCTTATATACAATACAGATTTCCATAAACATGAGCAACAACATACTTTTACTTTTGGGGAATAATTACTTTTGTTAACACCCCTAACCATGTCTACTGTCTATTACCAGCTACATTCAGAACATTGACTTGCAATTAGCAATACTAATATATATGATTACAGAATCTGCATTTATCCTCAGTTTCTGCCTTGCTTAACCCACAGTTACAAAATCCATTCTCTTTGACACATGCTGGAATATATGAAAGTGTAGTTGGAGTTATACTGCTGGTACGATAACCTTCCTCACATAACCAAATAAGGGAACTATATTCATGAAGAAATATTTGCTCCCATCGTTGGCGATATGCAATATTTCGAGCATATTGAGCAATACAATACACTTCGCTTCCCTACCTTCCATAGAGTTGAGACCAAGTCCGAAACCATACTTACCTTTCATTTCATTTCATTTCTCTGGTATGTGATGGCACAACATAACCATGTGTCCAAATAGTTGAATTGATGTTAAAAAACAAGAAATAACCATGGAAAAAAGAAGTGCACAGTTCCTGAAGTCTACTTACCTGTTCATTAGATATTGTAACTCTACAAAATAAAGACATACATTCACGCAAACACAAGCAAAGGTAGGCGTGGATGTGGAAAACCTTCTTTTTCATATCTGGGAAAGTTGTTAAGAACATCAAAAACATAAAATTATGCAAAAATAGACACAAGTCTTTCCCAGTAAACCTATAATCAATTTTCATTAGTATCCTTTTCATTAGTATACTTTTCCTTTCCATTAGTATCATTGAACCATTTTTGAACTTTCTTTGCTAACCTGGAAAGACAACACTTTGATCTTGATGTATCAATGTAAAGAAACTAGGGATCCAAGGATAGTGTGAAGTTTCAAATTGAAAACGACACTGCAAGGACTATATAGGGTCGCCGATAACCTAGAAAAGCTGATGACTTACGCTACGAAATAAACAGTTACCAAAGGCATTTCATCTCATTATTTATTGCTTTTAATACGCTCGGCACACAAGTAGCGTGACGTTTGAAACAAGCCTAACACATCAGAAACGTGCCTTGTGAAACTGATGCAATTTATCTATTTATTGTGATGCTACACGCGACAATTCGAAATTTAAATTGTTTTACCAACAACCAAATTTTGCATATTCTAAATTTTCATTTGCATCTGCAGCTGTCGCTAAAAGCATCCCCACGAGGCTACTGCTATGCTAAATTTATCTAAAACTATAATTGAAATAGCTGTATAAGATATGTTATGAATAATAAGCACTAAGTCGTTACATCATTAAAAGGACGCGTTTTACCCTCATCCGTTCCGTATTTTATCCGCATATCTGCTTCCGCATTTTAATCTAATTGTGACATGTTTTACAATAACAAGTCTCATTGACCTTTGACTTTTCCCGGTGTCACGTCTATTTTCAGCTTTTCGCATGTGTTGAATAATGTCACTTTAAATTTCAATAGTTTCAGTTAAGCAGTGTTTAAAGCAGTTTTGACAAGCGTTGATACAGTTCTGTGTACAGAATACTACAGATTGATTCTCGTACGATCTGGTAGAGTTATCGTTGAACTGTACACGAATTTGCACCGTTGACAACGGCGTTGTGCTGGACAGTAAACAAAGGTCAAAGACAAGGTCTGTGACGGTACACGTTGGCTACATGTACCTCCTTGCTTTTTTCTTGTATTGCATAAAGCTTGTTGGCGAGCTAAGCGATTGGCAATAACACGTTGGCGATAACACATTCGCTATCTCCTTGTCTTTCTTATTTAAATAAGGAGCCCTGACTCAACTGATTTCTTTAATAGTTTCGCAAGTTATTTTCTTCGTAAACGCCGTACAAACGTTTGCCCGCTTCTGTTTAATAGTTGTTTATGCTTTATTGATCTGATGTAATTTTTCGCTCTTTGTACTGAGTGTAGCCATCTATTCTGTGATGTAGCACCTTATACAGTCAATGACAATGTATAATGAATACACGGTCTAAATAATATCGATGGGCACTTACCTGAATGCCGGTAATGCATAACATAAATTTACATATTGTATTATTGCGTAGAATCTCAAAGATTTTCTCAATATTCATGTCTGAAATGTTTATATGCTTGAAAACAACACTGTCTCGCTTCTGCCCACGTACTGTACCTCTGTATAATGAGTATGCCGTGAAAATAATATCGGCACTCAATTGAATGCCTAGAATGTCAAAGACTTTCGACTCAATATTTACGTCTGAAATGTTTATACACTTAACTGCATTGTCTAGGCGGTCTACTCCTTCCTAGCTCTGTATAATGAATATACCGTCTAAATATTATCGGCACTTAATTGAACGCCCGTAATGCATAAGATCAATTTGTATTTTGCGTAGATTTTTAAAGATTTACTCAATATTCACGTCTGAAATGCTTATACATCTGAAAACAGCACTGTCACTCCTTCCTAGCATATCGTCACACCATCGTGATCTATGGCTTGATAGCGCATGCGCATTTGCGCTACTAAAGAAAAAATCGGGTGTTCCGGGGTAAAGATCCTTAACACAACACGAGAAGCGAATGTTCTAAAATTTACAAAAAATTACAATAACGAAAGCGACTCCTCGAAATTTTTGTGAACTTGGCAAAAGGATAACAGAATATGTAAACAAGTTAACTGAAATTGCCTAAATAACCTTCAAAGTACTGACTAAGTACAATAAATCACTACGAACATAAATCGTATACATCCCCCGGAAAGTTTACTCTTTGACTGACTGTTTGACTGACTGACTGACTGACTGATTCGTGTGAATTTGCCAGCCATCACAATAGTGTGAAGTGAAACTTCACACTAAAAATGGTGATGTATGGGGAACTTTGTTAAAACATGTTACAGAACTTGAGAGTTTAGACATTGACATAACTAGATTTAAAATATGGCGATGGACTAAGGCACATATATTATTCTTCAGATGCAGAGGATCTACATGCGCTCGATCAATAACTCTACTTACTAGGGGGACAAATTCTTGCCTGCTCTTCTTTCCAGCTATAAATTTTGTGACCTTTGATCTTTTAGTCGCCTTGGAAATTGGCTGCACATTTACCTTTGCCTTCATTTTCACAACTTCTGCAGCAACTTCCAACCCCTTAGCATATTCCCAAGGCTTCCATGTACAGTTTTTCTCCATTCCAAATGTCCCCTTTGCATTCCTGTGATCGTGAGCAGTGACATCTGCGAATGAAGAATAATACTTGGCACTATTATTTAATTCACCACCAAGAAATGCCAACATTTTCGTGTCATTTGGCAGCTCAGAAACAAAAAACTTAGCCTGAACAGAAGAACCCTTGTATGCAATTGTGTAAGTGGTGTTCTCAATTCTACTAATATCTTTCATTAAGATGTTCATAAACCGCTTAACCGGTACACAATCTTCCTTATAGTCGGCGCCAAACAATAAAAAATTTTCATTGCTACTTAGCACTCTTCCGATGTTAAGAATGCTGACAAGCCATGCACATGCGGTATCATCTTTCCCAAAAGGAGCACCATCACCACCTAAAGCTATATGAAACATATAAGGTTCAACACCAAATGTAAGGATATCATAAAGATCATTGCATAAATAAAATTCGGCCAGTTTAAGCACTAGATCTTCAAGGTTACGGTAGCAACCTACTCTGCATCCTCCAATCCATCACAGAGAGTCTCCCTAACACTAAATAACTGACCTATATCTATAGATCTAATATAAGGCATTAGTTTATGGTAAGGGACAAGCTTTGGAATGGGGCAGTTGGCAACCTTGATTCGAACAGCCATGTATTTCAATAGCTGCCTGCATGGTTTCCTTGCATCGTTGTCTAGCTGTTGACACACTGACATTCTTATGTAAAGCTGTAGTTGGTTTCTTTCTCCTCATTCCTGCTGTTTTCTTGCCCAAGAATACTACCTTTTGCCCAGCTCTACCTCCCTGATTACTACCTAAAGTGCCTCCTCCCAATTCCTTTTCAATTTCAACCCTATCCTCCACTTCATTTACTAAACTGGCTACCTACATAATGTTAAACAAGAAATTATAATCTTGTCAATCAATCTTTTGCCGCTGACTAGGTTAATTTGTCTAATACTAGAGCACTACCAGGGGTGCCAGAAGCACAGGCGCAAATGCACCCCTTGCATTTAAGTTGCAAATACAAAAGTCAAGAGTGCATTTGTCCCACTGCACATGTGGTTCCAGCATCCCTGCACATTTTTTTTTTTAGGAAATGTGTTAACAAATATATTACGGTGCAATGTGTCAGCAACCAAACTGGTCTAATCGAAGCCAAGGTGACACGTTCATTATCACTCAGCCAGGGTGCATTCCGTGCTGAAAAGTTTGGAGATCTCCGGCGTGGAGTTGTACTATTGTACAGTCGAGTTGTACATCCGAAGGGGGTAGGGCGGTTAACTTCCAATCAGAGACGGATTTTCATATTTTCGTTCAGGGAGGTGGATAAATATCTGCTTGCTTTGGCTGGGGCCTGGTGGCAATGCCCGGTATCGCGTCTTTCGATTAAAATTAAGAACGAAGTAATAACCGAAACACATTCTGCACGTAGTATTTATTAATATAATATACAGTCCAATTACAGACAGAGATTAACGAAACGAAATAACACTAAGACAATGTAGTTGTGTTCTCAGTAAAAAGTCTAAGTTGTCTGTCCCGAGTCTATATCCAAGATAGTTCAATAATAGAGTGATAATGGTCTAACTCTGACGACTGTTTAACGATAATGACAAAAACAACTTGGTAAAGTCTGGTGCAATAACAAGAATGCTAATTAAACATGCATATGAATTAATTACCAATACATAATGACGTCAATTAGTAACGCCGGAAATATAATTAAGCTAACGTTTGAATAAGGTTTGAATAAACCATGACACCCGGAAAGGCCAAGGAAAAAGTTTAACAAAATTTGTTTTCTAGGCCTGTATGGCAAGATCTGAGACCATAATATTGGTAATTCTACAAATTTAGTAGTAAGAATAATCAAATATGAAACTAACAAATCAAAATATATATAATTTGCGGGGGTGCAAAAACTTTTGGGGGCGGTGTCAAATGCCTCCGGGGGTGCAAATAATTTTTGGGGGTGCGCATTCCCCGCACCCCCAGAAAATCTGTGCCTGCTTCCAATTTCATATGTGGGGGTGGTATGTATGTTTTCTGGAATGACCCAATGTAGACATTCTTCCAGTATGGTACGGTTATCGAAAAACAGAACAAACATTCTTCATCTAGTATGCACATAAAACGATCTTTTGATCACCTTGTTTTGCATCATAACTTTATGAGTAAATTGTTAAATAAAAGCAAAAAATAAATGGACATGTACGAGTTTTGGAATTTGGCATGGTGCCCACGATGACTTGGGCCGGTGCACAAGTTGACCTCACTTGGCGCACGGCAACACAACCTCGGATCATCTTCGGCGTGAGGTTTACACAGAATGCACCTTGGGCACTCAGTGCCAAATTTCCTAGGGTATATCCTACTTTATATTCCATTGCCTTCCTTGAAAAAGCACCCTGTTTATTTAAAGCACCCCAGTATACATTAGGTATGTTCAAGCCAAGGGCAAGGTGAGGTCAACTAAAGTCTGACAGTATACATTTTTGTATATTTAAACAAAAGCTGTGCGTTTAATTCAGTTTATATAGCAGCAGTATTAAACATTTAAACTCAGTTTAAAGACTTGAAGTTGAACTGTCGATATTTGAGCTTCAAGCTATTGTGCTGCTTTATAGTATGAGTGTACTACCATATAAAATATAGATTAAAGCACTGCAGACAGCTAACATGATGTGATAAACTGACCATAACACTATAAAACTACACCATATAAATCAAGGCAAACGGATAGATGAAATTGTTTCAAAATCTCTATTATATATAATAAAAACATAACTTACTCGCTTATCAAGACGATTGAGCGTCATTTTCAGTCGATGCGCTCTCTTTTCCTTGTTCTTTGCCATTGCTTCCAACATATTTATCTTTGCAGTTTCCATTCGTTTCTTTGCCATATTCACGGCAAGATTGCAATGGATGCCTTTACACCGAGGCATATTTCACACTTAATGGGACGAAAGTCAAAAAAACAAAAATGACAGATCTTTAAAAAAAGCTTTTGACTTGTCCCTTATAACAATTTTAAACAAAAAGTACAAAGCAAAAAAGTGCAACTTCTGTGTCTTCAAATTCGTCACCATGCTGCCGAAAATTGTTTGTTACATACGAAAAATTGTGCACGCTCATCTCTGGCGATTTTGACATGCTTTTTTCCAGGCGTGAACATGTAATTGTATATATAAATTTCTCAATAAGCCGCCAAGCCCTTGGCTATCCCCATCTAACTCCATACTAAAAAAAATTCCTTCATTAACTCCATTGTTTAAATAAAATCCTTTATATTCATCCCATGCGGTTTGAATGAATTTAATTTGTTAGCCCAAAATCGTTCTCTCTAATAAACGCCAAAAGGTACAAGCAAAAATATTAGTAAACGCCACACTTTTTCTCATTTACCTGTGTCTATTTGAGTTAAGTGTTAAAATTGGTTATGTTGAGTTGGAATTAAAGAATAAGTTCACAGTGAATGTTACAACATTTACAATAAATGCCACTCCCGCAGTGCAAAAAAATCAATAAAACACAACAGCGTCTATTGAAGTAAATGCGGTATCCATTATTGCATGAGAAATAAAAACATGGATATATCTTATGCTCCTCTCGTATATTTTTCCTATTTATATGTTAGGATGAACAAAATCACACTTGAGCATGATATTGACAGCAATTCAGGCAGTTGCAGTTCAAGTTGTAAGAAAGAAAACATAAGGAGACAAGAAAAGCTTTCCTCAACTGATGAAGATGATTCTGAAAAAATTTGGAATGATGTGTTACCAGATGATTTGCAAACAGATTTGTCCACCTAACCCACCCCCTGTTCCTGTTAAAGGAGCAAACTGAAAAAAAGAATGTTGCTCATTCACTTGTTTTTTGGCTGGTTTTCTGGCTTGGTGTGGCTACATATGTTTCACTAGTGACCAGTTTCCAAATGTCGATAGGGATAATTTCAACAAGTTTGTTGTTTGCCTGAGATATCAAAAGCTTTCTATTTAAACGACTGTGTAAAAAGTCAGGGGTAGGGAAATTGTAAACGTTTGTTCTGTCATACGTAAACATAGAGGGAAAACAGTTTCTTGTGGAGCATCTATTGTCTACAATGTACAGTTAAAAGATGGAAAATCGGTCTTCTATCCAATTAAATAATATTGTTTCAACAGCATATTAACTTGCTTGAAACTCTAGTCAAGAGAACTAGGTTTACTGACAAGTGTGAACAGTGAAGAGAGAGAAATATGAAAGAAAACGAGATGGCAGATATATACGATAGAAAACTATGGAAAGAATTTATGAGAGTTAATGGCAAAGCCTTTTTGAATGCATTTCGAAATTAGGGTTTTGAGTTAAACTTTGATTATTTTCAAACCCATAGTTTGAAGAAAAGACTATTCTGTCAGTGTATTCTACTTGGTTATACTCAACCTACCATGAACAGAAAGATGCAAATGGAAAATGTAATTGTACTCAGTGCATTTAAGTTGTGGCTCAAATTTTTATAATTACCCCCATGTTCATGAACGTTCGCGTTTTAAAAAAATGAAAATCTGCCTTTGCTATATCGATGTTTTTGAAAAAGCAATATCTAATATAACCGATGTTAAAAAAAATACGATAATTATAGATGTTACAAAATGTTGCAGTCATAGAGTTTTTCCGCCTTTGTGGAAGAATTGATACGGCCAGCAGGATTTACTGTACCATATACTATAACACTAAAGGGTAATTTTAAAGTTTCTTTCCATCAAACTCGCCTTTTCATCACTAATACGAGAGTGCTTTCTGCAACCTTGAACGATAGATGGAAGATCTCAGAAAAAAAAACGCCCTGGATTTTATGATACTTGTCGGTAATCACACGGACATGATCAACTATTCTACTTCTTTACTAATATTTCTTGAAATACGACTTGGAGAATGACGGGCTTTCAGACCAATTCAATATAACAACAGTAATATTATGTGAGGTTACTCTGTGTGTATCCACACCGGGCAAGCTTGAAAAATATGCCTGGCCACGGTGGGAATTGAACCTACAACCTTTGGAATACTATCCCAATGCTCTGCCAATTGAGCTATGTGGTCAGGTCGGTTGTACACACATCATATTCACCTAGTACAATAACACCAACACAAAAAAAAAGTAATATTACATATCGAATTAACATCTTCATATGTAAAATAGAGTGTATGGTACCCAAAACCGAACAGAAGTCCTACATCTTGGATTCACCTTTGATTTTGTAACCGTTGCAATGCCAGATGTTCCTGGGGTGAATAGAGAGTTTTAGCTAAGACTTGAATTCGTATAAAGAATTTTCCATAATTGTTCTGAAACTTCTGATTAAAGGTAGAGACTAGAAACTAGTTTTTTTCTGTTGCTATAGTAACTGCTTGCAGAATTCAATATGGTGGAAGAAAAGGAGTGTGGTAAACTTTATGGATAAACTATATATATGTTATTTACCGGCTGCGAGGTCCGGATGAGAAAAACTGTGCCCGAGGTCTTCAAAACGGCCCGAACGGCGAGGGACGTTTTCAAGACTGAGGGCACAGTTTTTCTCATCCGGACCGACACTGCCGGTAAATAACGTGTTTATTTTTTATCAGATGTAAAAATTAAATTCATTAAAATTCCAGTGTTGCTTGCGAACTAATTTGAGATCAGTGCAGTTGAGTATTTTCAAAGCGAGGCTGACAAAAATTGAAAAGTTGAAAGATATAAAACAGGAATACGAAAACTTGATAAAACTGGCAAGAAACACACAAAAAGACGTATAGTTTCAGAAAAGATGTACATGCTTTTTTCATAAATATGATAGCAGAGAAGCTTTGGAATAAAAACTTTTATACCTGGCGTTTTGGCTTTGCCTTTGACAAAATCAGTTGCTCCTGAGTCCTGACAACGACAGGTTCATGTTCAGTTCCAATCAAAAACATATAAAAATGAATCTGTTTTGATTTAACATCGTTTTTCTACTAAAAGGACAATGTAAAAGGTATGTTGTTTTTATATTTTTGTATTTTTTCTTCTCGTCTCAGGATAATATGCTTGAAAAAGTGTTTTTAAACACAAACTTTTACTTTGTTTACAATATTTATATCAGTGAAAAATGCATGACACAAATGGGTAGAGAATATATTCGTAACTTGTTTTTACTGCTGCAGTTAAACCTTCTTTTAAATGGGAAAACATTTATTTTACAATTTCTGTTTAAGCTGTAATTTTTTCGCTTTTAAGTGGCCGAATACATTAGCATTTAAAAAATATGTAATATAAACTTTCCGTCTTTCAGTCACATTTCTATCAAAATATTGTCAATTCTGGTGAACATCGTGCTTAGTATGAAGTCTTTTTATGGCTTGATGTAATTTATTTTTGTATTCTGACTATCGTTAGGCTATGTTTTTCAAACGTTTTTGGCAGATTTTTTCGTTTAAAAATTGTTTCACTCCTCGGTTTTTGGCGCGAAATCCAGAGCGGGCAGTTGCATTTCACAGCGGGCAGTTGTGTTTCAGAGCGGGCCGGATGCAAAAAAACGGCCCGCTCTGAAAGGCTCTCAGCCAATCACATTGCTTCATTTTCACTGATAAAAAATAAATACATATATTTCTCATACTTTTTCTGAATTTTGAGCAAATATTAATGCGGTTTTATATAGTAATATATTTCCAAAAGGTTTTTGAATGGGAAGTAATTGCTTGTGTTGCTCATCATGGTAACCTGTCCTAAAATATACTGGTTATGTTATAAATTTACATAATCATATTCATATATCATGCTTTGTGATTCTACCGACTGTCATCATGACAATTTTAAAGAGGTGTTCAATCCGTAATGTAAAAGTTTTTTTTTACATTTTGAAAAATATTATGTATTTTGTTGATATCTGACAACACTCAGTATGGCTTGCTATTGAATGAATATATATAGATACAGGTTTCATTTAGAAAACATAAAAAAACACGAATTTTGGTATTATTTGTCTCACCACCGTTCCTGCAATGTTATGAGCAGAATGTTGCACAGAACAGACTTGACTGTAATTGATAATTGTTTAGGCAAAAATTTCAACACACCTGTTGTGTACTATAGATAACAATTATTGCAATTTCATCTGCCTTCAAATCTCTAATTTTCATTGTTTTAAACCTTGATCTGGCTACTTCTGTGCCCTTGAGTCTTGACTGCATCTTGATGTAACTTGGGAACTGTTATGCACACCGAGGCAGGTTGTTCAAAACCTGGTTAGGTTAATCCTCGGTTAATGCAAATTTCAAAGCAATCTCCCCAACAGTCTGTTTAGAAACATGAAGATAGTTTTCCACAATTCATGTCTGTATCAATATAGAAGGTTTTATTTTCCAATGTTTTGAAAGGAATAGATGTGCAAATGTACCCAAACTAAAACAGCTGGTTAAATTTTAACCTAGGGTTAGCGCTAACCCAGCTTTGAACAAACCGGCCCCTGCACTTCAATTTTCTATTTTTGCACGCACTTGGGATCTGAACCAAACCCTAATCCCAACAGCTAATACTAGGCCTAACCTTGATGTTAAATCTAGACCTTTTGTGGTGAAACAAGTTGCAGTGAAAGAATACTTTACTGGCCTGCATGCCCAATTCAATGTCAAAAAGTTATTTTATATTTATATGATAGATGTACAATCTTTGACAATATAGGTTGGGACAATCTAGTTTTCACATGCATTCGGTTGTTTTATGCAATTTCCTGATACATATTTTCCACCCTCCCTCCCCCCACCCGTTTCAATGTTGGCGCCGCGTATCCAGACATCAGATTTTTGTTGGCCCAACATTGAACTGGGGGAACGGGGCGCGCTATTCCTTGGAAATTATATGAAATTACCGCAGCTGTCCCATAGTTTCTGGCAAAGATTGTATCATGTGGCTGCTGGCCAACTATAGTCATTTCATTTGATTAATTATAGAACAAACAATCATAGTTTACTGTAGTTGAACATATAATATCAATAGAAAATTCTAACATTCTGACTCTGTCGACTAAAGTTGATCTCCACAAAGTGCATCATTTACAACATTTCAACTATAAAAAGTTTTATAAAAGTTTAAAAAGATCCATTTTACAATTACTTCAATGTTACATGCAACTATATTTACATAAACAGTATATATTAGATAAATACCCTAAAACACAGGATGCTGTTCAAAGTGATACCCAAACTATAATGATAACCTAAGATCATTAATTTGTGTTTCAGACTACAAGTATGCTATCAAGAGAATGTTGTGTGTGATTAACTGCATAGAAAGGGATGTTGATGATCAAGGTACCATTGGTTTACTTACACATTAACAGTCATAGTATAAAAAATATAATTGAAATCTATTGATTGTACTCTAATACCAATAATCTGATCTTTTTTCTGTGTAATAAACTAACAATGATTATAATGCATACGGTACCTATGTGCTACATCACATTGACCAACTAGTGGATTAATCATTTAGGGACCGGTCATTAATTACAGGGGAGGGGGGGGGGGACTGGTGGAAATGAAAAATTAGATGCTAAAATTAATTTGGCCCCCCCTTGAGGATAACACACAATATACTTGACCCCCACATACAAATAACAAAAGGCACATTCATAATTTAAAGTTCTTGCAAAGTGAAGCCACATTTAATCATACTGCCCTATCATAGTTGCCAACATTGGGAATAAAACATCCATGAGACTTTGCTTTGGGGGGCCCACAAGGTGCCAAGCATAGTTAGCGCCAAGCGGAAAAATTTGAAAATATGGAGTCTCTAGATCGGCATTTTCAGAGTCTTCTAAACCTTATACACACAAGTTTTGGTAGCTTTTCTTTAGATATACAAAACCATATTGTTGAATACCCATGCCGGTACGAGGTTGCATGAAGTGATGTTTTCATTATCTATTTTTGGCTTAATGGCATGAATTTTTTCAGAAGAAAAAAGTTTTATGTAATTTGACGCAAATGAAGTCGCTCTTAATAGTTAAAATGTGCAACAAAGCCAACATATTGAACTGAGAACCAGTTGGGTTATTTTCGGAAGCTGTGAGCTCACTGTGAGGTTTTAGTAAAATCTGTGATGCTGATGGTGGATCTGTGAGAGTTGGCAACTATGTCCTATATACATGTATCGTTATTTATATATTCTTTACCATTTATTGAGTCAACGGCTGTTCCAATGTACATGTTTATGTTGAAATCAGTTTAATAAATGGTGTTGTGTTGGAGTTTACTACAGTTCTACTAACGTCTCTATTTTTATCTGTAGGTTTTATGGTACAACAGGGTCATGCGGGGCAGGTATTTATATTGCACAAAAATGTTTGCCCCCCCCCCTTTTTTCATGCACAAAAATACCTGACCCCCTCATTTTCCACCAGCCCCTCCCTGTAATTAATGACCGGTCCCTTATGTAACAACTAACAAATACATATTAAATGATTATGCACCAGTTAATATGTCATTCACATGGTACAGTAGTTCATAATCATTGCTAGTTTATTATTTCATGGTGAATAAGAAATCACCTGTATGGGAATTACTGCGACACATATAGCAGTGAATGATTTAATTGTGAATGATTTTTTTTCGTTTTTTAATTACCAATAAGCCACAGCACTCCCCAATGAGCTCGGATTAATTTTAGGAAACAACTATAGTTTTTCATTTTCAAAAACGTTTTCATTTTTAGCTGTATGTCTCTACCTTGGGACCATGATAGTTATAGACCGATACATTATGAGTTAAGAGCATGTATGAATTTAGGCCCTTGTTAGTTTATATTTATACTATTTCATCTTCCATTGTTTCAATAATGCATCAGAACACTTTGCTAACATGATGCTTCAGTAAGAGTGTTTTAAGGAGATACTCTTTTTCCCATTTTTCAAGAGCTTTGTTCGGTTGCTGAACTTCTGCAAAAAACAGTTTTTAAAAATGTGCAAGTTTCCGCATGTATTTTTGTTCGTCATGAATTGCTGTGCAACAGCGTGTTGCAGCTTTCAATCTCCGATGTAGTTTATCAAACTCTGATACTTCTTCTGATGGACCCAAAACAATAGCCAGAGCTTTACAAAGAGAGCTCTGGGGAACATTTTTTTTTCCCATTTCATTTTATCAGTGATTCTTGTGATAGAGTCTTGGCCAAGAAATGATCTGCTTGTGTCCGATGTTGTCTCTGTCCCTTGGCTATCACTTAGGCTGGGATTACACTATATCGGATTGATTTTCATACCGGATCAATTTTCACACCGGATCAATTTTCACACCGATGCCAAAATCAAGGGTGTTTACACTATTGCCGTTGCGACTTGTTGCCACCCGTATTCACCCGTAAAGCTCCGCAAAGTTTCGCCGTTGTCTTGGAAACAATAGCAATTTCCCGCCATAATTGGGGAAAGAACAACGTTTTACATGAAAGATGTCTGCCGTCACCGTGTCAAAGAAAAAAGCAGAGTCCTTTTTATGGACTGACGCCGAAATTGAACTGCTGCTTGCATCAGTTAAAGTATTTGCTTCTAACTGTCTTTTCAACGGCATGGACTGGGAAGGTGTGAAGTCGAAATACGAAAAGATTAGAGAAATTTTTGTTGAACGCTACCCAAAAACTAATGATGGCAAAATCGAAGAGAAACCAAATTCAGACTATCCCAAGTCTAAATCCCTTGAGAATATAACGAAATATAACGAATTGCGGCAAAGCTGAAGACAATTCAGGGTAATTTTAAGAAAGCAATCGACAGCGGGAAACGGAGCGGGGGCGGTAGAGTTGTGATGACATATTATGATTTATGCCACGACATATGGGCAGGGGCCCCTTCGACAAAAAGTATCGAAGGTACTTACAGTTAATTAAATTTACGACATTTTTTCTGCTTTTTATCACAGACTATTCGATAATATTTATGATTAATTCTATAATAAATAAGGTACATTGTATAAATTAATAATAATTTGGGCTTTAATTAATAAGAGTATTAAATATGTGTATACAAAGAGGGGTTTATAAATAGTTTAATATAAGTTGGCCAGGTGACAACCTGTTCACATTGCTATGGAAAGCAAGAGTTTTATAAGTTGTAATTTTAATATACAACCTTGCTTTATAATTCAATAGTACTGTGAACAAGCAGTCACCCAGCCAAACTTTTATGAATATGTGTATTATTGTATAAGGTATAGTTGCAGATCAACCAAATGTTTGGCAATGCACCCAATTCAGTATTTACTCTGTCTATTAAACACCATACAATTCTACATGTCAATGGTAGAGGACTGTCTTTAAATGGGTTAAACATTTATGTTAATTAATTCAGGTGGAATTGATTCAAGTTCAGCCCAAGAAAAGAACTACAAATCCAGTGAAAAAGACAAGTCAGAGTTACCTTTGTACAACAACAGTGATGATGAGATGGAAGCGCTGTTTGGCATATCAGCGGAAGAAGAGGACACACATGGAACACCCAAATCCCAAAATCCAACTAACAGAAGGGAAAAGGTTGCTAAATATCTTAGTAATGAGAAAGAGAAAAGGATGAGCTCAAAGATCTCGGTTGACAAACAGCATCTTCATCTTGCCAGGGAAGATCTAGTCCTAAAGAGGAAAATGATGGAGACGTCTGACAATGTGGACCAGCAATTTATAAGTAACACAAGTAAAATGACAAAGACGATGGAAAATGTGGGAAATGCATTCACCTGTTGCTTCGACTTAATGAAGAAAATCTATGAAACCCCACAGGCAAATGTGCCACCAGCTGTACATGGTAATTTTTCCCACCCTTCAATGCCTGTTTATCCAGACAGGCATGGTTTTCATCAATACTTTCCATCCAATTGCTTTAACACATCGAACAATATTAAGCCATCAGCTAGTAGTTCAGATAAGGATGATTAGTAAAACAATGGACAACTATAATTTATTATAGAATTATAACAAAACAGTTAGTTATGTTGATATAGTACATTAGCTTTGACTATAATGTTGAGTTTATACTGTACATTTCTGTTGAACAGTAACTTTTCCATTTCTGAAAATATTTCTGGGCTATATCAATGTAGTTCATTATTCTAGTTTAACTGATTGTCAATATTATGTCACAGAGGAAAGATGTAACTGTTACTGAACATTTTACAGGGTCACAGTTTTCTGACCCTTCTAGCTACATACATGACATTGTCTCAGACTCACTCTCTTCTGTGCTTAACATTGTCAATTTTCAAACATTCATTTTACATGTATGTTTTTTAAGCACTATATGACAATTATAAATGTTTTATTCAAAGTACTTCATGAAAACATTCCTAATTGCTTTTCCACCCCTTTCATTGTTATGGACCACTGCATTACCCACATGACTTGGAGGTTGAAACTCTTGGTCATACCTCTGAACTGCCCTTATAAGTTCATCGCCAACTGTTTCATTGTGTATCTCACAAAAATTATTTAAAATGAAACAAGCATGGATTGTTGTGATGATGTTGTCTAAGCTTAGATCCATGGGCCGTCGCAGAATACCAAACCGTGCTTTCAGCCTACCAAAAGCACACTCAACAACCATTCTTGAGGATGATAGGCGGTACCCAAAGAATTGTTGTTGAGGGGTGCTACCACCTTTAGCGAACTCTTTCATTAAATATGGCAGTAGTGGGTAGGCAGGATCACCAAGAATGCATATTGGTACATCTTGTTCACCATCAACGATAGACTTCTTACATGGTGGTATAACCCCATCCCTTAACTTAGTATTTATTGCTGAGTTACCAAACATACGTGCATCATGCACACTACCAGGCCATTTTATTACTACATCAAAAAAACAGTATCTATAATTCACACAAGCCTGAACGTTAATGCTATGGTATCCTTTTCTGTTTACATATGATGTTGGGTCTTCTTTCGGTTTTCTTATTGGAATATGTGTCCCGTCGACTGCACCTATACACTGGGGGAAAAAAGTTTGCTGCAGATGTATTGACTTCTTCTTCTGTTGAAGGCGCTTTCACATATGTACCCACTAGGTTTATTGATATAGCCCGAGTTACTCGTTTCACGATTATTGAGACCGTACACTGTGCTATACCAAACGCATTTGCAGTTTTCCTCATTCTTCCACCATCCGACAAATAATACAAAGTTACTGCAATCTGCTTCTCAACCGAAATTGGGGTCCTTAGGTGTGTTATTTTCTGTGCAATATATGGACCAACCTCGCGACAAAGAACATCAAACGTTTGTTTAGACATTCGAAAATTTTCTTTCCATTCTTCGGGAAGAGTAATTTCGTTTTGCAAGCATGACCACCAGGCAGTGCTTCGGCCTGGTCTCACCCAAAATCGACGGACTTTTCTTTGTTTTTTAACGCAGTTTTGAACCCGATAATTTGACGTTATCATTTTACAAAGTCGTCTTCGTGAAGAATAAAACTCAGTTGTGATGCCAAACAAACAAGACATTATTTGCAGCACGCTTGCCGCTATAATAGTGAGCATAAGTACGTTTTTTAAGCCTAAGGGATTCATTTTGCAATTCAACTTGTAAACATAACTCAAAATTTCGCGCCAAAACTTATGTCGCAACAGACTTCCTGTTATTACACTTGGTTTTATCCGGTACAGCACGTACCGGATTACTTTTCATATCACCTCGAAAGCGAAGTGATTCTCGTGCTGCGGCACGTACCAGATTATAGTGGCATAGTGTAAACAAGAGCCCAATCCGATACAGAAATCGCGTCGCTTCGATGCAATCCGGTATAGTGTAATCGGGGCCTAAGAATCATTGAGTTCGAATAGAATAAACTTCATCTTACCCTAATTACTCGCTGGGGCACCTGTATAGGTTTCGGCTTGCATTTGTCATGGATCACGGATAGTGGATCTCCAATCGTCGATAGCCACAAAATAGAATATTAATGAGCTGCCTAATTTTCACCCAAATTATCCATAAGGCTCCTGACAATTTTACCCAAATTGAACAATTTTACAAGGAATTTCGACATGGAAACAGCAATGTCAGCGAGTGGGCAAAATGTTTCAAACAATTTTGTGGAGTGGGCAAATGTTTCAAACAATTTCGTTAAAATTTTCAATGGATTGTACCTGTTTTCTATGGATTTTGCATTGTGTCTAACTCTGGACATTCTTGCTAGTTTAGTTAATGCATTTTTCTTGGTGCACGACTCTGGAAATCCGAAATTTGGATCGTTAAATTCCCGTGCACGATCATGATATACTGAATCTAAACGAGCCAAATACAATTTCAAGGTAAAAGGTTATAACTTAAACTACACAACGTAGTTTTATAATAGATAAATACTTTATGAGAAGAATATTGGTGTCATATCAATATAAAATTTATCCAACAACAGTCCCTTATAGTTAGTAGCTGTGGAAAGGTGAAAGCTGTAGAGTGTGTAGTAGGCTGGATCGATATCGCAAATACCGAATACCGATATACCGCCATCAGAATACCGGTAAATATCGGTATTCCGGTATTTTTAACGTTTTTTTTTTTAAGCCAAACTGAAGTGCTGACCGTCAAGAAAAATCAAGTTTTGACAAAATATTAATGTGGCACATACTGTTATTAGTGCAAATGTCACAAGATTCGCATTATCAAGCTATGTTAACAATTAACAGCGCTAAGCGGCAATTATTAGTAGGGCATCGAAGTGTTGAATCATTCAGAAAAATATTCGTTTTGTATATAAATTCAGATAGTGTTTCAGTAAGCTGCCAATAGTTATAAACATAAAAAACGTTGCATTTTTAAAACTAACACATAAACAAATTAGCATGTCAGTTAAATAAGATTAAAAACAACAAAAAGTTACTTTCTTATACTGCCCGATAAAAAAAACAACTTGAAAAGGCAGAAAAGGTTTTCATGCATGTCATGCATCTGTGGGTATTAACTTTGCTTTCTAAACGTGATTGTAAGCAAGTTTAACTTGAAATAGCATTTCATTTCGGTATTAGACAGCAAAATACCGAAATGTCGGTATATCGGTATTGTTAAATTGCCAATATCGCCAAACCGGTATCTAAACAAATACCGGTATATCGGATATATCCAGTATATCGATCCAGCCTAGTGTGTAGTATGAAACATGATATTGTTTTGTATAAATGCCTAATGGCGCAATACATAAAGGATAAAAACACCGTTCGATTCAGCGTAAGAAATTGTACTTACGGATGTCAAATGTATTTATACTACAGTATATAAACAACAGTATTCTAGCGATTTACAGCCTTTGTCTTTGAAAGCCAAGCGAAATTGTATTGTTGATAAATCGCTCAAAATTATTAAACTAATTAAAAATGCAGTGCGTTTGATCCTTGATAACTCTGGTATCGTTGGTTTTCTCTTTTTCGGCCATATGCCAGTGGATTCGTCTCACTTCTCTCTTCATCTTGATAGTAGTTTGAGCCCAAAAGCTCACAAATATTTTCCTTTGAACTGTTCAATTGAACGTTTTAAAGCGCAGTTTAATCCTTGCGTACGGACCAACTGGTGGCCGACAGAAGAATGTATATAGCGCCGTACTAAATATAACTTTACTTGCAGACGGAACACAGGAAGTTTTATTTGTAGAGCACTGCATTTTAGTACTGTGTTAAACAGCCTTTTGCGTTCGTATTCGACTTTTCCGCTTAGTTCGGGAACAACCTTATATCTTAATTGAAATAGTTGTGTACTTATGTATCATATACATGCCATGGCGGCCATGTTAGTGTTCCAGACAAGAGTCTAATTAAAATTATTTTGAATTGGAACACCAACATGGTGACTGTGACGTCATGTGCAAATGCTCAATATCAGTGTGAAAAGGCACAGCATGTATAACAATAATTAAAATGGGATGTTTTTGTTTGCATTTCAATGATGATGGTGGTCATGTATAGACTTAGTAAAACATTGTTCAATGAAGTGTTATAAAATATATGAATAACAAATTTATTGTGATTGTATATGCTTTATAAACAGCCCAAGTGTAGTGGGTTTACAGTTTTTCTACATAACTCACAGCAGCATTCTTAGAACTTCCATCCACGCCAGCCCAGTTTGTGTTTATAGGGAGAAAGTTTTTTCAGATTGGGAACCAGGTCAGCCTGGCTGTTCAAATATATAATTATGCAAAGTAGTTCATACCATAACATAATTAATACACTGTGTGCAACTATTGACATGGGTGTCGTGCTTTTAATGGGCTGGCCTGGGTGGGGTAAAATTTACACAGAAGTATTATTTTCAACATTGACTTGGTGAATGCCTGGGTATAATGCTGTACACTATTTGTGTGAGACACTATCTGTATTATATTTACATCCGTAGTGAGGCATTTTGCAGCAATGTGGACTACAGTATGCATGTCATGTTTCAGGTGCTATTTAAAGCTACAAACAAATGGTATGGGTAACTTGGTGGAAATGGCAAAAATGTTAACACATCTAAAATTAACCAAGGAAAAGTTTACTGAGTCATTGCCAGTTGCTCCAACTGACTATAATACAAGAAACAGTTCCAACAAACACAAATGGTTTTTCACCACCAGACAGTCATTGATCCTGTCAAATATGAAACAGTCCCATTATTAGAGTCTGTTCTTCGCCTCTTCGAATTATATCATATTCAGATTAAAAAAAAAGAATAGTAAAATTTTGAAGTAATGACAGCAATTGAAGTGCCGACTTTACTGACATGATATGATTTAAATAAGACAAACACGCGATATAGAATACGGATTAAGTGGTGCCTGTTTTGTGTTAAAAAAGAAAGCGGTCACGCCCTGTCATGCAACATTTCTCCAACGTCCTTCATGTGTGATGCCTTTGTGCTCTCAACATTGAGCAACCAATCTTCGTATATTCATTCCACTTCTAATGTTTTTG